GCCTACCGCATTGGGTCCACAGGCAGGGAGCAGCCCCAGAGCTCAGAGCAGCTGGCTGCTCCATCTGCCTCTCTGTGCTACAGGGAGAGGGAAGGTTTGTGTGCTGCAAACCCCCTCTTCACCCAGACTCCCTCTCAGTCCCCACACCCTCTCCTGAGCCCTTATCCTCTACCCCAAGCTCCCTTCTGCATCCAGCCTCCCTCTCAGACCCTGCACCCCCTCGATAGAACGGTGTGGCCCCTTGACCACTTATCAAAATTTTGGATTGGCCCCCATCAATATAATTGCCCATCCCCGTCCTAGGGGCAAGTCACCAAAAAAGAGGTAGAGTGGGAGGAAAGAATAGGCAGAGCCATGGCTCTGTCCTATCACGTACTGAGGAGGCAGACAGGCTAAGTCAAGAGATGTGCACTGTGCTCCTCAAGGGTAGCAAATTATGCTCCAAAGAACAGCAGAGGGAGCACTGGAAGGCCTTGCCTTCTGTGTGTCTAAGGTAGAGTATTTCCCCTGTGATGTATGGCATTCACAAAAGGCTATGCCTTAAAGCAGGCATGTCCAAAGTCCGGCCCGCGGGCTACTTGCGGCCCGTGTTCCAGTTTAATACGGCCCCACAGGTAATTTGGCAATATCTATCTTTAATGGCCCCCAACGAATCCATATGCATTGAGATGAATACATTGTAAAATCTCAGTTAATGTCAGTTGGTCTAAATCAGTTATAAATATATTTGGACACAACATGTATACTTGGTGTCATGTTCCTGTTCATATTTTTTGAACTTAAAAGTTGACAGACAACCTTTATTACCAGTAATATGTAATGTACTTTACAAAGTTCCTGACATATTTCAGCTTCCTGGATTTTTTTTTCATCTGGCCTTCAGATATGAAAGGCAGAGTGATTTAACACCTGTTTAGATTTGTCATCCATGTGACGAAATGAAAAGTATGCCGTTTGCAATAAACTTTGCATAAAATAGTTAATTTGCATTTAATTTTAATGGTTCAAAGAATGTCAGGCAAAATGGTCGGCCCTCACGCATGTTCACTTCATCAAATCTGGCCCTCTTTGAAAAAAGTTTGGACACCCCTGCCTTAAAGGAACAACCCGTTTCTAGACCAATGCTACACTCAAGAAAGTTATTGAAAGATGTGAAGTCAATGTGCACTAAGTGCTAATCCTTTTCAAATCAGGGGTAAAGTGGTCTTAGTTCCTTGCCATTTAAATTTTCCTCCTCTGAATAAGAATACTGAGGGGATGGGATGTTAAAGCCCTTTAATTTATACATATTGACTTCACATCTTTTGCAGATTCACTCTCAACTTTCCTGTGTGCCCCGGTGTGGACAAGTCCTGACAGACTATTCCTATTTCATTGCTCTCTACATTGGGACGGAGAAACACTTGCAGTGATGACTTGCCCTCCCTCCACCACCACTTCTCAGAAGCAGGACGTCTGTGCATGGAAAGTCTCCTTAATGTCTGAATGATGGCAGCATTCCCTGCACTCTAAAGCTATGGCTACACTGCAGAGTTTTTGCACAAAACCAGCCATATTTGCACAAAAACTTGCAGAGCATCCACACTACAAGTGTGTTCTTGCGCAAGAAAAAGTACAGTAAATCGTAAGAAAAGCGGGCTTTTTGCACAGGAGTTATTCATATTTCTACAAGGAATAAGCCTTTTTGCACAAGAGCTCTTACACAAGAAGGCAGTGTGGACAGGCAACAGGGGATTCTTGCGCAAGAAACCCCTCTGGCTAAAATGGCCGTCAGAGCTTTCTTGCACAAGAGAGCATCCACATTGTCAGGGACGCTCTTGCGCAAAAGCACATGGTGGTGTGGACCTGCTTTTGCACAAGAACTTTTTGCACAAGAACTCTTGCACAAAAAGTTATTGTGCAAGAAGCCTGCAGTGTAGACGTAGTCTAAGACAGAGATCTCAGTTGTTTTGAGTTGCTCAAATATGCTATTTCTTATTAAGTTTTGTTGTTATTAGACCAAATTTTAAAACTCGCTTTTTTATTCAGTTCTTCAATATATTCAGTCCTTAATCAGAAAAAAAAATCTCTCATTATAATTAGCAGGAACTTTTTCTTGCAAAGAAAGAACAAAACCCCTAGTAAAACATTAGGATATGGCCTGTTGTTATCGTTATGCCTCTTGTGGCATTTTTACGAATACTTCTTTAAAAAAAATTGAAGACAGGATATTTGGAGAACTATTTTGAGAAAAACAGCTGAGAAACACAGAAACAGCTGGTAAGTGGTATAGCTTAGAAAAGCTTGGCTAGTTAAAAACATACAGAATGTATTTAGTTCCAGTCTACACACTTAAAAAGTATCAGTTGCTATGTCTTGAAGGATATATCTGCCTGCCTATAAAAGCAGTAACCATGTCACAAAAACTATTTAAATACCCTCTGCAAAGAGATACCAGCACTACACAATGATTTCTGTGGCATGACATCCACAAGCATTCCTGAGATTCCTCACATTTTTAAGCAGGTGGCAGTGTAGGTTAAAGAGACATAATAGATATAGCCTGTTGTTGGAAAAAGTTGTTACTTCACAGTTTTCCTTCAGTTCGAATTTTCAGGAATAATTTACCTAGCAATATCAGCAATTCCCTGCTGAGGCTGGTGGGGTTAGGAAGGCATTTTGAAATGTGTGTCTTTGTTAAAGGGAATCCCACTCTGTTATGATACTTCCAGAAGCATCTCACAGGCAGCACGTCCCAGAATTAGAGACCACAGTACCAGACACATGCCTTCTCTTGTTTGACACCATTTTAATCAGAACTATCTGCTGAAGGTATTATTAGATGACAGAGAATGATGATTCAGTGTATACCTGTGATGTATGGCTGGACATTGTTGGTAGTGATTTTAACAAATACATGCTGTCTTTGACATTTCACGTATTGGACCTTCCAAGCTGCAGCTGATATTGTTGTCTTGGTGGAGAAAGGAGGGGACAGAACTGTGTTAGGTTTATACTTGTAAATACTATTCCTTTTGTGAGCTTTTAGGAGAGAAAATCAATGACTGGTAACTTCTGTGCCTGGCCAATAGGTCATTTTAAAAAAATTGTACTGTACCTGACTAACTACAAACACCTATTTCCTGTTTAATGAGCGAAGCTAAATAGCCTTGATCCTGACTAATTTTGGAACACAGCAACAGCTCTTCATTGGCAATTTTTAAAGTTGACAGCAACCATTACAGAAATGGGTCATAAACTGAGGGTTTTTCACACCAAAGGAAAAGCAAGATCTGTTTGTATTCAGTGTTTAAAAATATTTGTTTTGTGGGAGCCTCTTTAAGGGATTGAAATGGTGTTTCTGGTGAGCTGAGTTCATGGAGGGGCTCGAGGGAGGAGGATATAACTAGACATACAACTTAGATAACTTGTTTGCCTGGGAGGTGATAAAGGGGTTAAAGACCTTTCCTTTCTCCATTAACTGATTGATTTCCATACCACTAACATAGACAGCAGGCCCCTTTATATTTTATTACTTAAAAGAAATTATTGAACTATTTTTATGACAGTCATAGGCTCCACCATCCTCATGAGTGCTGAGCCCTATTTAGGACACCTAATAGGAATAAAGGTGATACAAAGCTATCTGTCTACTCTCCCAATGCTGGGGGACAGCTTCCACCCGTTGCTCTTCAGAGCATCTTTAACTTGTGCCAACTTGTGACAAACTCAGAAAGGCAATCCTAGCAGTGATTACCAATTGCCTTTGCCAATGTTAGTTCTTTATGTTCCTCCAACACACTAAGCGATGTGGCACATCTTGATACATATCTTGACAGAAATGAGTTCTCAGTCACCAGTTGACCACAGGAAGACCTAACAAATACATAAACAGTACATGGTCTGGATAGAGCACTGTATTGGGAGCCAGGAGACCTTGGGCTGTAACCCTGGATCTGTCATCTACCTGCTGAGTGATCTTCATTTCACCTTCCCTTCAAAGGAAGGAGAAATGGGGCAGTGGATGAAGGAACCACTTCACCTTCCTCACAAAGGGCAAAGCGCTCAAGTCTTGGGGCCCTTTCCCTCCTTCTCATAATGGCTAAAGAAGGGACCTTTTTTTGCCTTTCACCCACTTACACCTCCCCCAGGCAGGGGGCACAGGGCTGCTTTCCTGCCCTGCAGGTAGCCCTTTCACACCCACAGAGACCTGAGCAGAGGGTGGAGGCTGCTCTAGCCTGCTCTTTCCCACTGGGCAAGGGAGCAGCTGATTTCTCCCTGCTCTCCTTCTGTGGCCCAGGGAGAGGCTGTGGGCCACACCTCCCAGATCTCTGCACGAGAAAGGGGAAAGTTTGTTTTTATTGACCTTTCCTTTGGAGAGATAGGGCTAAAGGCATCTCCCGGCAACGGGACTGGGAAGGGGGGAGGCTCTTTTCCCTCCCCTTTCCCTGGGGCCAATAACCAGTCCTGTCCTTACCTCTCCTTTCTCCGCAGGGGCCAGAGCAATCTACCCCCCTGCTGCTTGCGAGGCAGAGCCATGAGTTTTTACCTGCCATGGGTCTTTACCTGCTTCCCCACCCGGGCCACCTCCGCCCTGCCCTTCCCCCAGGCCTTATGGACAGGTTCCCTTCTTCCAGCTGATCCTGGTGTGGAAGGGCCCGGGCAGCGGTCCCAGTAGAGAGGCCTGGAGTTCCCTGGGTTACCCCGTTTCCACGCTGCTTTCCCCCGGGCTCAGGCGCCCTCCGGCCTCTGCCAGTCAGCTGGGCACGGGAGAGGCGAGCGACCTGTGGTTTCATGTGCTGGGCGATGGAGCCCAGGCGGACACTGGAGCAAACGGGGAGTTAGTCACCCGTGGGGGCCCTGCCCTTGGGTCGCTGCCAGTTCTTGCTGCCCCCCCTTCCCCAACTCCCCGCTGCTCAAGCAAGATTCATGCGCACAAGCCGGGCTCGGAGCTGTCCAAGTGCTGAAATTTATAGGCAGGGGAAGCTCCCGGCTCTCTCATTCCGACACAGGAGCGTAGCTTTCTCGGCAGCCCACACCAGCCAGTCCACAGCAATATTTACAACTCGCTGCCGGGTGGAGGGGATGTGAGGGGGGCAGAAAAAAAACAGCCCCACCACGACTCACAGCTCCCGATTTCCAAAGCAAAAAGGGAAAGCAAACTGCCCCCCTAGCAGACAAGCTCTCCAGCGCGCAGCGATTTGCACGATGTTCTCAAGGTAGCAGGGCAATTTGCTTTTTTTCATCATTCAGGAAAAGCAGCCGGGGGAACCACCAGTTCTGATGCTTTGTCTCCTTTATATTGGCTGTTGGGAATGAGCCCGGGTTTGACCTGACCATGATTCCGAGGACTGGCACTTCTTATTTTTTACCCCCAATTTTTAGACATCCAGATCTACTCTTTTTGATTTTCAAGAAAATTAAATTATTGCTGGATTTGGGCATCTAGACAGCACAAGGTACTTCCCTCCTGCTACTCTCTGGAATCGTTTCTGGGATATTTTTCATATCATCACAGAAAACAGGAGGAATGAACGGGCAGCTAGTGAAAATTTTGACAGCCTTGTTTGCATTTTTCTTAGAGACAAACCACTTCAGGTAGGTGAAATAACTGTACACTGATATTTACCAAAAGATGTGGGGAAACAGAGCTATAAGCAACCACTTTACATTCCGCTAGTGTATCTGCTGCTCTGAAAGTATTTCATATTAATTTTGTATGGGCAACATCTTTTACGCTGGAAAAGCCCCGTTGCTTGGTTACACACACAAAAAAATCCCAAGTTTGTGCAGTACATTTTCCACTTCTCTGATTTAAAGACTCGTTTTTATAATGACATATTAATAAAATCTACATAGCTGAACAACATTTTCAGCAATGTAGCTTGTTCACTCCCACTGGAAGTTATTTAGTAGGTTGCCTTGTTTTTTCCCTCCCAAGCTGTGAGAATGATTGAGCCAATTTTCTCACAGATGTGGTTATTTGTATCCCAAGAACCAGCCCTCTGAATCTGGGAAAATCTTGGACCAGTCAGAAATTCCTTTACACTTTTAACTTCAAGCAGCAGTATATATGAATGTTCTTGAAATTTCAAAGGGAGGAGATATTGCTTTTGCTCTTGACTTTCTTTACCATTCAAAACAAACAAACAAAAACGTTGGAGGGTTAATTGTCAAAGCTCTGGTTCACCTTAGTTTCATTAATGTGATATGTTTTTGTGTTCCATGTGTGTGTCTCTCTCTCTCTTTCTCTATAAATGTATGTGTGTGTACAATGACATAGTGAAATATTATTTAGATTCACAAGTTTGGGATGACCACATCACTCAGCATGGTGGTTCCAAGTGGAAGCACAAGTGATTTGTGTGAGGTCATTCCAAATTAGTATACTGAATGGCTACCCACTTTTTAGTGTTGTATATTATAGTTGTATCAATTAAGTGGGGAATAATTTTTACCTTTTGTTAAAATATCAGAGCAGAGCAATATAATTGTCCGGAAAATAGAACCTGCAAAATACGGCAATAATATAACAAATGTTAATGATAACAGAATATTCTAATAATTCGAGTATTTTAGTGGAGGAAATAGGATTTATTTGCTTTAGGTTTCAGATAATCATGTTTGTTTTACAGATAGCACATACACATTGATGATAAGAAGGAATACTGCTCAAAGCAAATGATGTCTTTTGGGCACATATTTAAGACACCAACACTATAGAAGACATTCTGAGAGGGTTACTTCTGGTGACTCTAAGATGTGCTATTAAAACATAGAACAAAACAGATAGTTTAGGAACCATCAGAATTAGACATATGTTAAACTCACTGATTTAATAACAGACATGATAGCATTCATGTCCCTGCAGCCCAAATTTGTTCAAGTGCTTCTGGTTTCTTTTTCTAGGGACCAACCATCTGAGATTCCCTTCCCCCGAAATATCTAATATGCTACATCTAAAAATGCTACAAAGGCATGATGCTACCATTAACTTAATGCTAAAACCGCAAGACACAGACCTATTTGAAAAAGTCTTGATATAAATACAAAGTCATGGGAAAGGCAGGCAATGGGACCATAATCTTGCCTACTGTGCGTTAGTAGAGTAAAATCAGATGTGTTTGCTTCTCACACCCTTTTCAGGGAAAATAAAATTACAACTACTAAAGAACCTGGTTCTTTAATTAACAGAATTTAAAACCAAGTTAGGTGGAATATGTAAAGACTATTGCTGTTTCTATAGGATTTTTAATCTTAACAAAGTCAACAATTTTCACTGTTGTGTGGTGAGTTTTCTCAGTCATTGCATGAAAGTTTAAAGCCACCTTAGGGCCAACTGAAGGTGAAAATTGTTTCTGTAGCATACATGTAACTCTGACAATACTATGAATTGGGAGACTGCAGTCCTCTGGAGAATGCATGAAATAATTAGATAAGTTGAAGACTTATATTTAAAATCCTGCAGTATTAACAATTTTCTTTTTATAGTCTAAGTATTTTATAAAGCACATTTTGGCACACTGCTATATTTCTTTTTCTTGAAACTTATTTTCACTTCTAAAATAAAGTTTTCTGGTGAAAACAAGGATCCATTTTCTACCCGTCTATTCGTTAATAGAATCAATGTGTCGATGAAGGTTTTTTCAAAAGGGTATTATATTTTTCTTCCTGAATATAAAGGCAATAAAAGCTGACTAGTCGCTAATGGTGACTAATAATTTGTTTAGGATGGCTTTCTGTAAAGAACATGATTCCAGATCTGGAAAATCCCCCTCACAGACCCTGTCTCCTTCAGATTTTTTGGACAAATTGATGGGAAGGACATCAGGGTACGATGCAAGAATAAGACCAAATTTTAAAGGTAAGTTTCTCTGTGTCTATTGATCAACTCCTTGGAGATCTTCTTGGCATACTACGGGTTGTGATAACTTTACATCTGTGGCCTGATTCTTCTTTCTATTATCCCAGTTTTACAGAACAATCATTCCATTGAAATCAATTATTTCATTGGCATAAAATTGAAGAAGCACAGTGGAGACTCACAACTGGTGCTTTAGAGGGAGCCATACAAGAAATAAAACTGGAAAGGACCCAGATTTTAGTTTTGCTAGAAGTCACTTCTGAAAATCTCTCTAATTACTGATCTAAACAATAAACAACTTTCCAGGTTCCCTTACAAAAAACAATTGGATTTACTGTTTTCGAAAGTTTCTAGACATATGGGGCCAAATCCTGAACTCTCAAGCCAAGCCCAATTAAAAGGGCACTGCCCATGTAAAACTCTGAGGAAGATGAGGGAATTAGGGGTCAGGGTCCCCACATAGTAGGCATTTTCCAGCCATGCTGGCAGTGGAGGATAATGGACATAGCCAATTCTCCTTTCCTATGCTGATTTAGGGATACCTAGGTTTGTGTTTCTGCTTGGCCATATCCTACCCTTTTTCTCACACCATTTTCATTGCTGTCTGGAGAAACGCCATATGCATCTTAGTATCAGCACATGTGAGGCTGCAGATGCTGAGGCTTCAGCAGCTTTCCCAATAGTCAGTGGATAAACAGTGTTTCTGCTGCTTTTGCCCTTTCAACGTCCATGCAAGGGAATTCTGGATTTGGTCCCTAGACAAGAAAAGAGGGGAGATCAAGTTTTCCCTTAAGCATTTAGAATGACTCAAGAGTTCTACAGTTCCAACAAACTATCACTTTTTTTTTTAATGTGACTTTGAAAAGTGACTGTGTGTAAGGATATTTTCTTCCTCAGTATATCTGCTTCTCTGTGTGCATTTCAGTTGCATAACTGCTGGCTTTGGTAACATTTTTTTTTACTACTTTTTACTCCTGTGAGCCCTGCAATGAAAGCTGTTGGTATTAGAGTGAAGTGAAAGAATATTGTTCAGCCAGCAGAGGCTGTTAGTATGAGGGAGGGAGCTCACCCATCAGTGATAGCAATGTTAATTACATCTCAGATCAAGAACCAATTTCTGTCTTCGCTCCCTCTTGTGCAAACTGCAGAATTTGTAATATGGAATCTTTTTTTACTGTTTATGATGCATGAGCCTGGAAGAAGCTAGTGTGACTTCCAGGTTCCCAAGTAATGCAGATAAAAACTGCTTGACAAACTGTGGCCCAGATTCAAGAATGCTCTCAGGCATTGACTTCAATGCTATTTACGCATGTGCTTAAAGTTTAGCATGTACTTCAGTGCTTTCCTGTGGCAGTGGCTGTATTGTAAGTAGTAAAAAATAAACAAACAAAAACCCCAAATCATTTCCTGCACTCATTCACATGCTGTGTAGTCACCAGGACTTCAGAGAAGTTTGACAGGTTGTAAAAGAAGGAAGAATTTGTCCTGAATTGAACAGATAAATAATTGTTAAGGATGCATTTGGAGAGGAGTATGCAAAAAGCCATCCCATGCTACACATTGTACACTATATACACATGGGTGCACTGATTGCTTTTTGCCTGCTCCCTTTGAAACATGTAGCACCTCCAAAGGAGATGAGTGGGAGCAAACAGGACTGTGGCTCTGTTCCTTCGATGTACTGAGAAGCAGAGTTGACAGGCTGCGTAGGAGGTAATAAGCAGTAACTAATAAAAGTGGGGATACTGCTCCATTCCAAAGTGCTAGACATAAGTTACTTTCATTGTTCCCCCTGGGAGGTAGTGACTCCCCCTAGCTTGAAAAGAAGGCTGTGCCTTAAATGCACAGTAAAACCCTGGATTCAATAAATATGAAAACCTCCTTTCCTTCCTCCCCCCGTGTTGTTTTCACACAATAATTTTTCAGAGACGAATTGCACAGCATAGCATTTTTAAAATCAGAAATTCAGCTTTAACATTTGCACAACTTCCCTTCTTCTGAATCTTTCTGTGAAGGGTTTCATAGGTTTCATCATCCTTTTCTATTATCCTATCCTCTCTACAAAGCCTTCAAGTTTGTTGACACAGAATGAAGAAACAATGCAAAGAGTTTTGACTTTCATGCCTCAAGTGAAAACCCTGAATAACCATAGCCAGCCTTGTTGGTCTATTTACTATATATGTCAGGTTCCAATTAGTTGGCTGAAAACCATAGCCTTTTTGACTAATGTCCAAATCTCATTGATTTTTTTCAAAAAGTACAAGTGGAAAGTATTGTCTTTCTAATTTGCACCAGTTTCCCTTAAAATAAATGTAAACGTACAATCAGATGGCTTTTGTGGAGGATCATAGTGAATTGCTGTTATGAATCGGAATATTACAAAGGAGTTTTGTACTGAGCTGAGTATTATGACCATGTTACAAAGTATATTTCAGTTTCTTAGATTTTACTGATCTATTTTACCTCATTTTTGTCATCAGGTCCATCAATAAAACATCAACATTCCAGTTAAGAGAAATATGTTAAAGTGTAAAATGTCAAAGTATTGCCTTGTTGATAACACTGTATATTTGAAAACAATATAAGTAATTTTAAGCCAAAAAGATATTTGTTAGAAATGTTTTTAAAAATAAGTCCATTATTTGACTTTGTATATAGTTATGGAACAGCTATATATTATTAACTGCATTTTACAAAAGAAATGGTGAATCAAAATAATTTGGATATTGTTTATGCATTTATCCAGACTACTTCTGTTTCATATCAATAACAGTTCAATCCCACAGCTTTCTGGTCTATAACTGGCATTTGTTGCTTTGTCAGAAAAGAGTCTGGTATTCGTGAAGAAGGCAATTCTGTTGCATCCTCTAATATTATGCTATTTCATGCACATTAATTTAAATACATTTATTTGGCAGATTTCAGAATCTGAGTAATTGAAATCAGACAACTATTTGATTAGCTTCTGACATAAAGGCAACTTTCTTTAGCATAAGGAAAAAATGACTGTTCACTTAAGCAAAACACTTGATCCAAATTGATTCACATTTTTCTTATTTGCATTCTTCAAAAGAGAATTCAGATGGATTAAGTGAAAGCAACAAGGTGAATATCAAATAATCTAAATATTAACCATTGATGATGTAAGTCAACATTTAGCTCTTTGAAAAGCAAGACTGTTTAGTGCAGAGTCTTTTCTGCTCTAATGGCCTTATGAATTATCACTGCCATTTGTCATTATTTTCAATAGAAAGTTGTTTTCCAGTTCCTATGGGCCTAATAAGATATTGTGTGAAAAAGCAGCAGGGAGTAAGACTGATTGTCACCATGATGGGCACTGCAGAGTGAGTTAAGGACTGAGCGACAGACTCAGCTATGAATTTTCTTGCTTTTCGCCCTCTAAGTAAACACCAAGAGTAAGTCTACACTGCAATTAGACACCTGTGGTTGGCCTGTGCCAGCTGACTCAGGCTCACAGGGCTCAGACTAAGGTTCTGTTTAATTGCAGAGTAGATGTTGGGGTTTGGACTGGAGCCCGGGGTCTGGGACCATCCCCTCCCTGACAAGTTCCCAGAGCTCAGGCTCTAGCCTAAGCCCTATGTCTGTACCACAATTAAACAGCCCCTTAGCTTGATCCCTCTGAGCCCAACTCAGCTGACATAGGCCAGTAGCAGGTGTGGAAATACAGTGTAGATAGCCTGTATTTTATCTTCCAGTGGCATTGCACTTAATATGAAAGTCCTAATGTCTTAACAAAGAACAGGGGGCCGAATGTTACACCATATTTCAGTTTAAATATTTATAGAGGCCCAATCAAGTTCTGATAGTGATAACAGTGCATGGGAATCCTTCCATTGACTCAGCTCAGAGTTGGATCAGGTGCTTTGACTCAAGTTGACGTTGCTCTCTTTTAGCTGTATATCTGGAGAATGCCGTTTCTTATGAATACTAAGTGCAAGTTGATCCTTGCACATGGTTTACTGAAATAATCTTAATGTCCTGCCTTACATTGCAAAAACAAAGAAATTCTGAGGGGAGATTGGTGCTTTCTCTTTAACTCATTTCATTTTTGTAGAGATAGCAATGGTAATGGAAGAGGATGTCTGTGCTACAATATTATAGCCAAGGATTTGCTTTCTCATAGCCAAGAGAGAGCGAGAATGCAGGAGGGCTGCAGCGTTCAGGCATGGTTTACCACCTACTCACCTTGGGCTGACTCAACAGGAAGTGCAAAAGCACATGCAATTCCATAATGGCCATGCATATCAGTGACTCATTCACATGGGTCACTGGGATGACAGAATGACATCTTAAAATGAGAATGTCCTTGCATTTACTGACCTTTCAAGTTAGTTTTTTCTAATTTTCATTTGTTACAACCGTAGTCTCCTTAAAATGTCCTTGCATTTGCTGACCTTTCAAGTTAGTTTTTTCTAATTTTCATTTGTTACAACCGTAGTCTAAAAACAATTTTAAAGATACATTCCAGGAAATCAAATATGAAAACCATTTTCCAGTTATATTAGTATGTTCTTCACCCCAAATGTGGTGGTAATTAACACATCTGACAGTCTCTGAGCAGACTTTGCCCTGGATTTCCAGTATAGCTCAGTCCTGCAAGCTGCCGAGCATTGCCAGAGGCAGTGTGAAGAGCCAACCAAAATGTCCGTATTGTGCTGGGTGAAATCCTGGCTCTGTCAAAGTCAATGGAAAAACTCTCATTATCTTTAGGGGAGCAAGGATTTTATCCTCACTATTTGCTCAGCTCTCGAACACTGAGATTTAACAAAGTAGAAAAAAAGGAACACAGCCTGCACCAATGTGGGCAAATCTCTACATTCACAATGAAAAGATTGCAGGTGAGAAGGAGGGAGAAAAGGGCATGAAAAGAAGGGAAGGCAGGGTGCTGGATCCTGAGCTGGTGTGAACTGGCACAGTGCCATTCATTTCAGAGCAGCTATAGTGATCTATGCACATTTAGAGGATATAGGTGCTTATGT